TTGACGAGGTGGACTTTCAAACTCTTCTTTGTAGGTGGAAATGATCTGATCCTCAGAGATGCCCTCGTCGTCATCAACGGTTCGTACGAATTTAATTGGAACTGGAGATCTTGAAGCCGTTGGGGCAGCATACTTGCCCCGGACACCATTACAGTACCGGCCAAGGGAGCTTAAGTTTTCCCTTCGTTCAATCCTTGATAGTCGTAGTTTGAGTCGTGCCAATTCTCGTAGAAGATCTTCTATTTCTTCATCTTGATGTGATCCCTTCCATGTCCATTGGGAATGCATCTTTCTCTGTTCATCAAGAACCAATTCAAAATAGCAAGAAAGAAGGCCTGCTCCGAGCCTTCAATCAAAAGCCATGTTCTTCTTTGTCTTCGCCCAGTTGCTCCTGCACGCCTTCCAGCTCAGCTCTCGGTCCCCTCGCTCAACCAGCGAACCCGGCCAAGAACTACTGCTCATGGACGATCCTCTTTAGGCAATTGGAAATCCACCAATCACTTCAAGAAACAATTCTTGAAGTCTGCCTTGGAGAAGATTGACTATCACTGGGGTCTATTGGTCACGGATAGGCCACCATGAATTTTTGGCCTCTTTGTCAAGGGACCATTAATACCTGATCTAAAGGTGCAAAAAAAAAAGGCTCCAGATAAAACTCTATGACTCAATGATTAAGCCTAACATTACTGTTTGGAATGTTCGTGGTTTTAACAGCCCCAATAAAATTTTGCTGAGTAAGAATTTTACTTGTTTTCATAAGCTTGATTTACTTTGTATTTTGGAAGCCAAATTTCATAATTGCTCTTTTAATGATGCTTGGTTTTTAGATTCTCATAAGGTCTTTAATTTGTAGAATAGTTATAATAATTTTGGTTCCATCTTTCTTAGTCGTATATGGGTTAAGTGGAATGCTACTACTGTTATATTTTATAACTATTTACGTTGATAGCCAATTTATTCATGATAAAATTTGGTTTTCTTTTTATTTTTTAAGAAATATAACATTCATTTATACTTCAAACTCTCTCTTTGAAAGAGATTTATTATAGCATTAGCTTATTAATTTTGATGGAGATATTTCTAAGCTTTAGGCTATATATGTTGGATAACTTCAACTACTGTAGGCACCCTAATGACAAGGTTGGTGAGAACCCTATAGCGGTAAGTAAACTGTGGACCTTTAATAACATGACTTTTGTTAATGGTTTACATGATTTGAGCTCCTTTGACTTTTTACACTTGGTATAATCATAGGGTTGTGATAACCCCATACATATTAAACGTGACAAGGTGTTTGTTAATGACTCTTGATTAGAGAAATATCCTGTCTTTTCATAAAGTTGAAGCTCCTTTATACTCTCACAACTCCCCTTTGATTTTAGATTCAACAATAATGTGCTTGTTAAGCATATATTTATGTTCAAAAACTTCTGGCTTAAATATCATGAATATTGGGATGCTCTCATTTTTTCTATCTTATTGAATTTAAATGGGGTTAATCTCCAAGGAAATTTTAAATCCAAGCATTGAACTTCTTCTTTTTATTTTTCTTCCAAAGTCTCTGATCTTCAGCAATAACAAAAACATTGTTTGAATTTACTTAACAATAATATGCTATCTCATTCTCTCAACTCTCAGTTGAAATTTGTGAATGATAAGCTTTTATTCCATCATGATTCATTGTCCTCTTAGATTATTCAAAGGGACTACGCTAAATAGCTTCATCAAGGAGAGAATGAATTGAAATTTCTTTTAAGTGGAATTAGAGTTAGATAGAACTATAATGTTATTAAGAGTATCACTACGTACTAGTGAAGGGTTCTTCTCTTCCCATTATGATATCATCCTTACTCTGATAAATCATTTTTCTAATTTGTTTAATTATATTTCTCATGTTATTGGTCTCCCTAGCAACCTTCCCATTGGCTTTCCTATTCTTGATTTAATTGCCCGTGTACCTAATGATGAAATTAAAGAAGTTATCTTATCTAGTCACAAATTCCTCTACCATTACATCTGATGGCGTCACTTTTGAGTTTTACAATAAATTTTAGCTTATTATTGGCAATAAGATTTATAAAGTTTGTTAAATATTTATTTCTTACCTCTTTTCTCCCTATAAAAGTCAAGGCTACTACTATTGCCCTGATCCCTAAAGGCCCTCATGCATGCCTCTCATATCAAAGATTACATGACAATTTCTTTATACAACACCTTTTACATAATTATTGCTAAAATTTTAGCTTTGAGGTTCAAATATGTCATGCCTTATGGTATTCACTCTAGCCAGTCTTAGTTTATAAATGGGGGGATTTCCACTAATAATATTATTTTATCTTTAAATATCCTTTCTAATTTTAACACCCAAGGAAAGTCTAAATATTTCTATGCCAATATTAACATTTTCAAAGCCTTTCATGCTATTTCTAGAAGCTTTCTCTTGCATATTATATTAAAGAAAGGCTTCCAAGAAACTTTTTTCTTGGATTCATTCTTGCATCCATGAGGTCCCTTTTTTAATTAGCTACAATGGTGATTTCCATGCGTTTTTTAACTCTTCCTCTAGTTTGAGGCAAGGTTGCCACTTTCCTTTTTATCTTTTTTTTTTTGGTATCATGATGGATTATTTCTCCAACCTTATGGAGAGTAGCATAGGGGGCCTCTCTCTTTCAAGATTTTTTTCATACAGTCACTTCTATTTCTCATTTACTTTATGTTGATGACTTATTGATCTTTGGCAAATCCACTATTGAGAATGCTCATACTTTAGTCAATAATTTGCTTATCTTTAAAAATACTTCTAGGCTTAAAGTTAACTATGATATGAGCTCTATTTTCTTTTCTAAAGACATTACCAATCCCATGGGTATTGCTAACATCCTTAATCTAACCATGGTGGTTATATTTTTTTTAATATTTGGGGATTCCCATTGTCCCCAGGAAACTTAGGGTGACTGATTATTATCCTCTTTTGCAAAAAAATTCTAATATGTTGGAAGGGTGGAAGGTTGAGATTTTATCTTTTGCTTGAAGGATTCAATTGGTTAAGTTTAGCTTTTGGATTACTATTGCCTATTGGATTAGGGGTTCCATAAAACCTAAATCTTATTGCAAATTTATTAATAAGTATTGTGCGAGATTCATCTTTCATGGTGATATTCAAGACACAAAATTGCATCTTTTATCTTAGAGGAATACTTGTCTGCCTAAGAATTTAGGTGGTCTTGTCTTACCATCAATTTTTACCTTAATTCAAGCATATTCTTCTTCTTTAATATGGAGACGTCATTCTTCTTTCCTTAGTCGCTAGTTTAAGAACTCATATATATATATATATATATATATATATAAAACCTATTTCTAGGAAAGTTTCTGCTTGCTAGAAGCATTTGGTTAAAGTGGATGCTTTAATAAAACCCAATATCTTCTTCAAGATTGTAGATTGTATAATAGGGTTGCTCTTTGTTGGTATCTCTGATGTGCTGGGAAATCTCTAGCTAAGTTTTTCTATGGGGCTACTGCTGTTTTTTTCTTCTTATTCCACTATTTTTGTTATCATCTATGTTGGTGTTTGGTCTTTTTCTTAGGATCCCCTCTTCCTTCATAATTCTATATATGATATTCATTTTTTATTGCTCATGATGATTTACCTCTTTGGTGCAATATAGTGAATCCTACCTTTAAAAGCTTTTTAAATGATTTTATTTTTTTTCAAAGTTATGATGTAGTTAATTGTTACAAGTTTATTTGGCATTAAATATCTTATTAGAGGTTCTCATCTTTTGCTTGACTTGCTCTGGATAAAGGACTCAAAATGGCTAACCAACTCTTCTTACGGAGCATTTTTTGCCCATCCTACATGTCTTCTTTGTAATCATTATGATGAATTTGCTTCTCGCCTGTTCTTCGAATGCAATTTTTCTTTTAATATTTTAAAAGCTCTCTTCCTTGAAACTGTTGTTGTGCATAGGCCTAACATTTTTAAAGTTTTTAATTGCATAAATGGTGAACCATAGTTCTATGTGATTGAATATTAAAAATTACTACTATTTGGTTATTTGTGCTTTTTTTAACTACATTTGGCATGAACGTAATAGCATAAGGTACAATGAATCACAATCGGCCTATGTTAATACCATTTTGGTAATGATTAGAAAGGCTATTAAATCCAAAATCTATCATTGGAAAAATCTTGAATATTATTTAAGATTTTTGTTCTAATTACTTTACGTTGGTTTTGCTGCATTATCTGATAATTTGCAGCTGTGTTGTTGATGGTGTCATGTAACTTATGTGCCTTAATTTCTCCTTCATTATGGATGTGTTTCTTTTTGTCTGTGGGGGCATGTATGGACAATTATGTGGTTGCCTTCCTCAACCTCCCTAGATGGCCTTGGCTTTGTATGGGCAACCTTGGAGGCATTTCTGTTTATGGTTTCCATCTTTTACCTATTGTTGGCTGCTTATCTACTGATTTTAATTATAACTTTTTGCAAGGCATTGTGTGTATAATTGTTGAGTTGCTTACTTGAGGGATTGTTTCTATTTTGATTAATGGTTATATGTTTTTCTCTATATATTTTTTTGATGCTGCCTCCAAAGGGTGGTACTTAGCCTTGACAACCAGGTAGGGCTTATCAAATGTCGGTAATTTTTTGTATAAAAGCTTGGCCTTTTCGTAATTAAGTCCTGCAAGCTTTGTTGACTCTTAATTATTTTACCATTCTGTTGTATTTCTCTTTTTAATATTTTTATTTAAAACTTTTAGATCTTTAATAATTTTTTACTATGTGATTTTTCCTTTCTGCTCGAGACTTAGTCTCAATATTCGAAGCATAAAAAAATAGCCTTTAAACTTCAATCCACAAATTATGGCCCGCGTTACCTCATTGATGAACAACGGATGGCACCAACTCCCTTTGACTCTCTCTCTTCTTCTCCTTCTAACTGTAGTTATATATATCCATATTCATGTTCCCTCTTCTTCCATTCCACCTCAGTTTGCTCTTCAACCTCCTGCAAGCCTCTTCCTCCCTCTGTCGCTCTTCTCATCCTTTACTGAAAGCTCTAAAACCGAAGCCAAAATCTTGATATATATGGGGAGAGTTCCTTGCTGCGATAAAAATGGCCTTAAGAAAGGCCCGTGGACGCCAGAGGAGGACCAGAAGCTCATTGATTATATACAGAAGCATGGCCATGGCACTTGGAGAACCCTCCCCAAGAATGCAGGTGTGTTTTACTGTTACAAAATAGCCCAAATTTCAACCTGTATTTTTGAGTTTGTAGGTTAAGTGGAAAAAAAAATCATATATTATAAGGAATTGAGTTAATTTGAAGACATTTATTAAAATTTCTATTAGGTAACCCTCAAAACATATTTTCGCTTCTTCATAAACCTAAAATTCTGCTATTATTTTGCTCAATAAGATTAATCTTTCTCTGACGAGAAGATAACCAACTTGAATATAGGTCTTGCAAGATGTGGGAAGAGCTGCAGGCTTCGATGGGCGAACTATCTTCGACCAGACATAAAGAGAGGAAAATTCTCTTCTGAAGAGGAGGAGACCATCATCCAATTGCACAGCGTCTTAGGCAACAAGTAAGAACAACAACAACGTACCAATATATAAATATTACAGTACATGTATGATTTTTTACTCCTCTAGCTAGCTAATTACTAATCATTTTCCAATTGATCAGATGGTCTGCAGTTGCTGCGCGCTTGCCTGGAAGAACAGATAACGAGATAAAAAACTACTGGAATACTCATATCAGGAAGAGGCTTCTTCGCTCAGGAATTGACCCTGTGACACACAGGCCCCGGCTCGACCTTCTCAACCTATCTTCCCTTCTCAATACCGTGCTCTTCAACCAATCCACACAACTTGAAGCCTCGAGATTTCTTGACATCAAAGCTCAACTGAACACTCATGAGCTACTGAATATTGCCATCAATCTGTTGCAGTCTCAGTGTCAAAAGCAAAATCTCTTTAAATACAACCAAGTTCAAGAATCATCGTTACCTTATAACCCAACTCAATTTATGAATGCAAGTCAGTGGCAATACAATGAAGCAAGCTCTTGCAGTTTAAGTGAGAATTTGGGGACTGTTAATAATGATCTTATAAGATATCAGAACATGGAGCAACCAAAGCCTAGTTTGTTATATGACGCATTCAATGCGAAACTGATCAATAGTGATCAGAACTTATACAACAATCTTGATTCGGTACTATCAACGCCTGTGTCGAGTGTGACTTTGAACAATTCTTCTACGAATATCAACAATAGTACAGAAGATGAGAAAGATAGCTACTGTAGTAATTTCTTTGATTTCCAGATTCCTGACTTGTTAGATATGAGTGAGTTCATATGAAATTCGAATAGTGGGAGATTGAGAGGGACTAAAGAGGAAGAAAAATGAAACAAAAAAAAAAATTAGGAAATTTGTATGCTTGCAGTTGTCTTTAATTTTGTTCATAATGTGGATAATTTGGAATTGTTTGTCCTTATTTTCCTTTTTCTTAATGAAATTTGATATATATAGAGAGAGGCTTCGTTTGTACAGCTTAATTACTGTTTTCTAAACAGCTTTTTAGTATAAAAATTTTGAATTCATTTTTTTTTTTATTAAAAAATTGTTTTAAAAAGCAAAAAGAAAACTGTCCCAAATGAACTATAGTTACAAAATAGGAAGCAAATTTGTTGAGTGAACCCAAACCCTTATTACAATTTTTTTTTTTTTGAGCCAAAAGAAGATAGAAAAGAGGAGATGGTGAGGGAATGGGCCAAGAATCTTATGAGTAGATTCAATATGGTATCATGTTCAGCTTAATATTTGACCTTCTATTGGACCAATGTCATTCTTGCAGGTTAAGCTGCATATATAATAAAATATAAAAAAGGTACGCATACTCATGATGGCTAATTCTAAAGTGAATGAGTTTAATTTGGCTAAGTACAATCCTGTAAGATAGATTTAAAAGAGCACCCATGTTAAAGGCGAGTTCCATTTATGAGTTCTTCCGATGAGATAACCAGACGAATTCTGCTTAAAAAATTTCTCTCTATTCGCGTCGGCGAGTACTTTTTGATAAATAGTCAAAAGTTTCTAATGAATAAACTAGGGAAGTTTTCGTTTTAAAAGACAAGTACATTAGTTCACTAATGAAGGCTGAATACAGTTAACTCTAAACGAGTTGATGAGATCCAGTAATAGGTGACTAGATGCCTTCAGGAGAGTTTTGAGTTGGTTCTTGGCCTACGAGTTCGTTTAACTATGTTTAAAAAAAATTTTGCTAAAAAATTACTTTAAAAAACAGTCATAAAATTGCCTCAAATGAAATCTTATTTGATTACAAGCTTGATATATTAATGTGTTGCGGTTACTACATCATCAGCGCAGATGTATTTAAAAATATAAGCATTTGAGTTCAGAGCCAAGGTTTTCAATGATTATATTTTGATTATTATTTTCTTATTGTTTAATTTTCTTGTGATTTCTTGCTTCGTTACAAGAATGAAGAAGATTGATCAAACTTATGTGTGTTGAAGTCTTTGATATATTTATAAGAAAATCTAAAGAATTTATGATGCATTAAGAAAAAAAAAAACATTGAGGAGTCTTCATCCATGGCACTTTATCTATCGAAGAAAGGGAAGTTAGAGCCACTATAAGCAATAGAAGCTAGGCAAAAACCAGTTTCTCCACCAACTGAGTTGGTTGCCTAACTACGATGTTCTCCAGTCAGAGGCAAAGACTACTGCCATAAAAAAAAAAAAAAGAAGGCAACGACAATTGCCATAAAAAAAAAAATAAAAAAAAAAAAAAAAGAGAAGGCAACGACTACTGCCATGAAAATTTGTGATAGGGAAAAGTGTTTAACTACTATATTAAGGTTTTATTTGTGACAGTTTTTTATTGTTTTCAAAAGTAGTTTTTTAATATAAATTTTTTAATTTAAAAAAATTTTGTACTAAAAAATTGATTTAAGAAACATTAAAAAAGTCATCTCAAACGAAGTCTTATGCATTTTCACAAGTGAAACTTATGATTTAATTCAGTCCATCAAAAAATTGTGATGAATTTGAGACGTAAGTTTTTTTTTACATCGCTAAAATATTTAGAAAGTTTTATTATGCAGTTTATTATGAATCAAAGTTGTGATAAACTCTCTTAACTAAGCAAATTAGTTGTAAAATTATGATAATATTTGCAACACATTTATTTGTCTAAAATTGGGTGTTAAATCTCTAAAAGCCGTGGGAATGTGCACACTATAAAAAAGATGAGGTTTCCGCAGCAATTATTAGTGTCGATTTTTAAATCGCTACTAACAAAATTATTTGAAATTTAAGATTTCCACGGTGATTTATAGAAGTGGTTTGCAAACCGCCGCATGATGTCCTAGCTCCTGCTCGACTTGATCCCGAGTCCATCTCAAGCCACAAAAGCAACTGGTTTTCCATTTGTTCGCTTTGAGCAGGGGAAAGGCGTCGTCTTTACGTTGGCATCAAGGAGTTCATGGATCATGAAGCTTCTCCTCGAACGCGGTTACAGGTGGCGGCGTTCACTTACCCGATGAACTCACCCGGATGTTCGACATCCCCATCGACCTCCCCTCCATTTTAACGAGCTCCAACTCCGACCTTTAGCATTGGTTTTAACCCCTACTAAAAGTGCTGCTAAAGCCTTCATACGACAACATTTCTGAAACCGCTGCTAAAGCCTTTCCAACAAAAATAAATACAGCGAATGTGCAACAATTTCTAAACCGCTGCAAATACATTAGTAGGTGTTTAAACCGCTGCAGTAGGTCATAAAAAGTACTGCGAAAGTTTGATTTATTAGTAGTGGCAGTGATTTTAACATCATCGATTGCCCTCCTTTCATTTTTCGTCATTTCCTCCTTTTCGTACACCACATGCTCTCTTGATTCTTAGAGCCTGGCCAAACTCCCCATTCACTTCCATTGCCGGCAAGAGAGGCTTCACCTCCTTTAATTTATCCCCTAAGGTTCAAATACATTCACTATTTAGCATTTTAGTTTTTCATCTTTTTTCTCTTAAAAAATTCATTTTATTCGGATGTATTTTCGGATGTCATGAACGCTTTAGGCCTCTATTGGTGTTAACTAAATTATGTGAAAAAAATTAGTTTGCCTGCTTAATGTGTAGAAATGGATATGGAGGATATACTAAACTCAATCATGCCTTAATAATTAAATAGTTTGCCTTGCTTTAGTTATATACTTATATTAGAGTTTTTTTTGGTAGGTTACAGAATTCGAACACAGATCAGGCTAGAGATTATTTTTTAAATTATCAAAAAAGTTATAAAAATGATTATATCAAGTAGAGTTCTAGCTAATTTGGTTCAAATCAAAATAAAAATAATTGGATTCCAATGAATCTGAAATCCAAATAATTTTGAGTGTAGTAAAGCTGACCGTTTTTTAAATGATCGCATTTTTAATATGCGCTTGAATTAATTTTCAATTAATTATTTAAATAAATATAAAAGTTATGCTTCATACTATACATATATTATACAATATACATCACATTTATGTTTATAGCATTGATACGTCAACAAAAACTGCCTTGATTGAGCATGAATACTAAAGCATGCATATTCAAGCTGACAACTTCCACAATTAAATTCGGGACCATCAAACTCCAAATTCAACAAACTTATAGTCAAATTGAACACCTCAACAAGGCGAATCCAACGACACAAAAACTGGTCATATCCGAACCAAAATGGGCCCAAATCAAGGGACTGGAGCATTTTTAGAAGGTTCAAAGTATTAATTAATTAGATGATCAAATGATCTCTAAATATGACATGCTTATAGTCAGATCGAATGGCTCGACGAGATGAATCTAATGGGCCCAATATCGCTTAATTATGACATTATTTGAGCAAATAAAAATGTTTGAAAAACACTCTATGACAGAGGGAATGATCAATATGGGTCGTCTGATGGAGCACTCTCAACATCTCCTGGATCTTCTTCATATTTACAAGGTGTGCCACAAAAAAAAAATCTATAAAGAGACCCTCATTCGCTACATGAGGATGGCCTTTTGCTAGAGAAGGGATAGAGTTTTGAGGCTTTAAGGATCCTAGAGTTCTATCCAAGCACCATCGCATGCGAACTTCAGTCGACCAGCGCCAAATCAATGCCCGGCCGCCGACCATCGTCGGACCACCACCTGATCACCAATCTCTGTCGAACCTCTGCCTGTCCGTTAATCGTCGTCAGACCATAGCCTGTCCGTCGATCACTGCCAAACATTTACCCATCCGTTGACCACCGCCCTTTTGTCGATCTCCACTAGACCTCCGTCCATTCGTCGACTGCCGTTGGACTAGCGTCCCCCGTTAATTAATGTCCCTCCGAACACAGTCGTCTGCCGACTACAGTTCCTCTGACCACCATCCCTCGTCGACTATGGTCCCTCCAACAGCGTTGCCCTTCGACTACGGTCTCTCCTACCACCGTCTACCGTCGACTATGGTCCCTCCAGACATCATCGCCGTCGACTACGATTTCTCCGACCATCATCGCCTGCTTACTACTGTCCCTCTGACCACCGTCGCCTGATTGCGGTCCTAATGATCTAATGGACATTCCAACAGTACTCTTTTGAGAAGAACTCTCAAATCACTAAATTCCTTCAACTCGCACCATGTAATATGCTCTATATGATGTATATTTGTTAGATCGAGCCAAGGTCTTCCCCCTAAGGAATGTCCTCATTGGTAATCAACAATAAACACTAGTATATATAATTATTTTAATTGTCATGAGGCCCCATGATTTTTCCCCTTTTCAGTATTTATAAGTAAAAATCTTAGTGTATCTTATGACTCTTGCAACCCTCGCTCTTTAATTATATGCGTGTTGGATCTTCGTTCAAAATTAAGATGCTAAGCTCTTTATAATGTTCCAAGATGCTTTTTAATTAAATTGTGAATTATATGATAGATTTTCAATAGCCATGCAAACTACCAACACATTTTAGCTAGATTTATCACAAAATACCCCTTCGCAAATTGTTAGTCATTCTTTTCAAACAAAGAGTGCCATCATTAATTAATCTACGATTAGTCTCGAAAGAAAGGCTAAAAATCCCATTGCAAATTGGTTACAAAAATTATGATTTTTTTTTTTCCGTTTATCATAAAAGGAATTTAAGAGAGGACTTTTGTGACAACAAATTTTGATCACATAATATATCACAAATTGATATTGCAGTTAAATTCTGTATAAGTTGCTACTGCAATAAGTCATCGCAAATTGGTTTTGCATTAATGCACTGTAGTGTTCAAAATGGACTTCACGGGTGACTATGAAGATGAAGATTTTTGCATACTGGCTAAAACTGTGAAGGATCTCCTTGGTTTTGTTACAGTTACAGAAACAAGAAGCATATCTTCTTTTAGAATAGTTATTTTAGAGCTCAAGGATCTTCCTTAGAATCTGAGTTAAACAAGTTTATTGATGAGATTAGAATCGAGGCCCTACAATTATTACTTGGTGGTTCATTGGCAAGTTTTCATCTTTTAGAAGCCGACTGAGAAGAGTCCACTAGGATGAAGTAGGGATGTCAATTCGGGTCAACGGGTTGGGTTCGGGTCGAACCCGACTTGACCCAGTTGTAAACGTTGACCCTATTGCAAACGGGTCAGGTTTGTCAACCCAAACCCGACCCATGCGGGTTATCGGGTTGACCCGACCCGACCTGCGAATTTATATGGGCTGGACAGCGTGGACGCGGAGCACGGACGACGCGGATCCATGCGGGTCGCGGGATGAGCGACGCAGACGCGGGAGTCAGGACGAGTACAGCTGTGGCCTGTGCGGGCTAAACCACTGGACGGCGTGGAACTGTGGACGCGAGGCGAGCGACGCGAACTCAGACTCGGGACGAGTGAGGTGGATGCGGACGCGGGAGCTTGCGATGCCTGGAGCCTGCATGTGACGCGGACGGCCGACGGCAGACTCCACCTCACGCCTCATGCAGACGCGACCTGGCGGGTACTCGGGCAACGCAGTGGGTTTGTGAAACGGGTCACTTCGGGTTGACCCGAGGGTTGTCGGGTCAACCCGAACCCGACCCACTTTTCAAACGGGTCAGAAATCTGAACCCGGATCCGACCCGTTTCACAAACGGGTTGACCCAAACCCGAATTTTTCCGGATCGGGTTCGGGTAGTGTTTTGGGTCAGGTCAAAAGTTGACACCCCTAGGATCAAGAACAAGTTTTGTTGGAGGCAAAGACGAGAATTCACCAGTTGAATGATTATGAAAAAACATGGGGTCAATACTGATGCGTTTGTTCAAGAGGAAGTTGCTTAGGAGGTCATCAAAGATGTTAAGACTCCCCCAGATCCTTCTAAACTGCTCTTTCTCTCTCTGCCCCCATATATTTTGGGCCCGAGGCTGGCCCCCACTAACCATCGATTTCGCTAACGTCATTAGATGGTTTCGTGGCACCGCCTAGTAAACTCTAATGCAGTGGGAAAACGTTGAAGGGTCTACTCTCATGTGAGTGCCGCGCCATCCACAAGCTTATTTTAGCCCTTAATTTGGCCATTGAATATTTGAAGCTTAAAAAAATACATTTTGACTTTGAACCACAGAAGATGAGCCACGTTACTTTATTGATGAGCAAAGGATCGAACCAACTCCCTTTGAATTTCTCTTCGCCTCTTTCAGACTGTAGTTATATATACCGATATTCATTCTACCTCTTCTTCCATTCCACCTTAGTTGGTTCTTCAACCTCCTGAAAGTCTCTTGCTTTTCTGAAAGCTGGAAAGCCGAAGCCTAAATCTAGATATATATGGGGAGAGTTCCTTGCTGCGATAAGAACGGTTTAAAGAAAGGTCCGTGGACGCCAGAGGAGGACCAGAAGCTCATTGATTATATACAGAAGCACGGCCATGGCACTTGGAGAACCCTCCCGAAGAATGCAGGTACTGTATGCTTTACAGTTAAAACTACCTCAAATTTCTTGCTATATATATCTCTTAATTTGCGGGTTAGAAAGTCCTATATGAAAAGAGTTGTTGGTTTGGTTAACTAAAAGATGACCAATCTTTTTGTAGGTTTAGCACGATGTGGAAAGAGTTGCAGACTCCGATGGACGAACTATCTTCGACCAGATATAAAGAGAGGAAGGTTCTCCTTTGAAGAAGAGGAGGCCATCATTCAATTACACAGTGTCTTGGGCAACAAGTAAGAACAACATATACCACTAATTAAATATTACAGTAACTTGAATTTTTTATTCCTTCAACTAGCTAAATGAACGATAGATCTTCGCTAATTGATCAGATGGTCAGAAATTGCTGCGCGCTTACCTGGAAGAACTGATAATGAGATCAAGAACTACTGGAACACACATATTAGAAAGAGACTCCTTCGCTCTGGAATCGACCCGGTGACACACAGGCCCCGTATCGATCTCCTCAACCTCTCCTCTATTCTCAACACAGTTCTCTTCAACCAACCAGCTCAAATGAATACTCATGAGTTCTTGAGGATTGCCGTCAATCTCTTGCAGTCCCAACAGCTTACATCATCTTTAGTTTATAATCCGGTTCAATTCAATTATGCAAGTCAATGGCAACAGAACGAAGCAAGCTCTTGCAATTTAGGTGAAAGTTTGGCGACTCCTGATAGTAATGTTTGCTATACGAACAATAATGAGCAACCAATATCGAATTTATTATATGAGGGATCCACTTCCGAACTTCTTAGTGACAATAACGTGTACAGCGATCATGATTCGGTTCTATCGACACCTGTGTCTAGCTTATCATTGACGAACAACTCTTCTACAATCATCAACAGTAGTGCAGAAGATGAAAAAGATACATATTGCAGTACCTACTTTGATTTTCAGATCTCTGACTTGTTAGATATGATAGTGAGTTCATATGAAGGGTAAAAAGCTAAAGAGGATGGAAATGAAAAAAAAAAAAAAAGGAATTCCTAGGAAATATTTTTCACCCACCATTGTTTTTAATTTTGTTCATAATATGGATGGTATGCAATTGTCTCTTCTTTTTTCTTTGTGAAGATTTTTTGCTCCTGAAACATACTTATAATTGCACCTATCATATATAATTGAATAATAAAAAGCAATTTTTTTTCAAAGCCCTTCCTCTTGAAATAAATTGAGCCTAAAAAGGAAAGAAAAAAGGAGGCATATAAGGATTTGGCCTAAAATCTTAGAGTAGATTCATTTTGAAATCAAGAATTTTAGCCAAAAAAAAAAAAAAAACCACAAATTCTGCCTAGCCGAGGGGGATGCCCGTTGCCCAAGCCTAACCGCATGTACCTCTGTCCGCGCCTGACCAGCTACCCGTGCCTGACCGAACTACCCGCGCCATCTCCCTCCTAACCAGCCTGCACAAGATTCGAACCCTACTCCACTCGTCAAATACCATTGCCCTTCTCCACTCGACCGCGAAGACAGAACAACATAAAAGCTTTTTTTCGACGAGGCTACTGCGACAAATCAGCGACCCAAATTTTTTTGGTCGCTATTTGCTTTAGCGTCCAAATTAATATTTTTAGCGACCAATTTTGTTAGTCGCTAATTACCTATTTTCTTGTAGTGCTTATTAAAGTGAGTTTTCTTAATGAGTTATTTGATGAGAAACCTAATGACTTCTATTGCCAAAAAGCCCTTAATAAGCTTTAGCAAGTACTCTTAGATGATCAAGTAGTTAAGATTTTTTAATGAACAGCCCATGTAAGTTAGTGTATTAGATAGTAAGTTCAATTGTTTGGTGCTGAGAGTGAGTGAGGCCAACTTATTAGCGAGTTGATAAGATCAAAATGTCTGCCAACTTAAGACTGATAAGTAAATTTTGAGCTGGTTCTTTTGCCGATGAGTTTACTAAATTGGGTTCAAACAATGAAAATGACTTGATTAACCTAACATAGTTAAATATATATGTACATTCAGTTTCATGATTCTGGTCATGTATCAGGTGAGAAGATAAAAAAATTTAAAAGAATGAAACCTTAGAACCCAATTCATCATGAGTAATTCGTATTTAATCATGAATATTGATTTGACCATAAGTTTAATCTATCAATGCTTTGTCTTCACATCAACACCTCAAATATAAGAAACTAAATATTTGAATTTATTGTACATGCCTTAAATGACATTTTTTTTATCATCGTTTCTTTAATTGTTCAATCTTTCTTGTCATTTTTTCTCTACAATAGTAAAGAAGATCAGCCATCTTTCATTTGTTGAAATCTCTAATAATTTCCTTAAGAAAAAGAATTATTATTAATGACATTGATAATTATAGAAAGCCACAATAGATCAATCCAAAATAAGAAAATGATAAATTGGACTAAAACTATACATTCTTTATTTATTATTCTAATACCTCATACAACATGAGGATTTTTGAAGAAGATATAATATAACAATGCGACTTTACAATAACTTCATTTTTGCCCTTGCCATAACAACCATTGGAATGTTATGTAGAATTCAAAGATTTCTATTAGACAATCAACATTGGATATGAAAATTGAAGATGCAAAAATTAACTTATCCAGATTAAATGAAAAGTTATGCTAAAGCCTAATAGAATAAATAAAATAACTAAGGCAAGAGTAAATTTAGATCATTCTTTTCTACTATCAATCCTACTAAGAAGAGCGGTAGTGGAGGTGCCATAAATTTTTTGAGGAGATGAGAAACGTGGGAGAACGACTTCCAAATTAAAGTTATCAATAGGAGTAAAATAAAAAACAAAATAGGTAAATTAGAACCATTAAGCACCAAATGATAACTTGAATTAACCCCTAATAATCTAGTTTGTATTATGTTGTTGATAATATTCTTAAAAACTTTAGAGGGGTAAATTTAGATAAGTTTAGGTATATTTATATTGCGATCATCATCTACTTGAATTGTAGAAGGATTAGCAATTAATTTGGAAGAGAATAAAGGTAGAACCGAGAAGAGTGAAAGAAATGAGAAGAAAGACGGTGGAGCGGTCGAAATAGGGCTCTTTCTGTTGAATTTTCCGGCGGATTTGCCATCAGTCATAATACCAGCAGATAAAATGTCGGAACATATTCGTCAAGTTTAAGTAAGCCGGCGCAATTTACATCGGTGATTCCGCCGGTGATTACCGGCGGAATTTGCGCCGGAATAATTTATATACCGACGAAACCACCGGCGGTATATATGCCGGTGAGTTAACTGCGACAATTTCGCCGGAACTATTGCCGTAAATTAATTATTGGCGCATTTGTCTCCGGTAAGGCCGCCGCTTTTTTCTGGCATATAATTTGCCACTGGAAAGGCCGGCGGTAATAAAAAAATTTCATGTAGTGACATATTTTCACTGATTTCCAAATTTTTGCTGATTTCAGCAGCCTCATGTACCGGACCACAAAATCAATTGAATCTGGGGTTTATTCTTTGGACGGCAGGTGAGTTTTAGGCTTTTAGCTCTTCTTTCCTCACTGGTCTTTTTCTCCTTTGCTCGATGGGATTTCCTTCTTGTTGCTATATGGCCAAGTTTTTATGTGAAAAAATATATGGAATTATTTATTTTTTTATTAGACTGATTGCTCTTTTTATTGTTCTTTGTTTTCTATTATCTTGTTAAGTGAACGTTGATTTGAACTAGGTTGTTATCCATGATACAAAACATAAGCAAAGGAAATAATATTTGTTCTTTAATTTTTTTTTTTACTCTATGGAGTTGTCTTGAGCATAGAATGGCTAGGGAGTGTTTTGTTCATTATTATGCGGTTCTCATGCTTTTGCTATAAAATATGTTTTTTTGAATGTAAGTATATTAATTCGTCACCACATAAAAAAGGTTGAGAGTTTTTCTACTTCAATCATTTGTACTCCCACGTGAAAAGAATCCTGGCTCCGCCGTTGAGTACAAAGTTTTTATGTTAGTTTGTGAAGCATGTGTAATAGATTCACAAAGGATATATAAACTAACGATAAATTTAAGATAGGTTTGTGATATAATTTATCATAAAATAAAACATTGTAACAAAAAATAATAGTTTTGAGACGGGTTATCTTCCTCCTTTGTCACAAATTAGTTATGAAGTGAAGTTATGATTATTTAATCATAACTTTGTTGCAAATCAATCTCGACTTTGCAACATATTGAATACTTGGGTCATCGCAAACAGTCAATCACAATATTTGCATAGAGGAAGTTCTCACAAATAAGTCACAAATTGGTCTCAAAATAATGGCTAAAATCTCATCATAAAGTGTTTTCAATCCTGTGAAGATTTTTTCACCATGGACACAAGGATGATTGTTGCAGATTTAACACTCTAGCTAGCTATCACTATTAAGGACCTCTTTTGTAACGTCCCATTGATAGAAGTGACAGTCAAATCTTCATATCTAAGAAGACGGTGAATATGAATTTTAAAAATCTTAGATTTTCTGTAGTAGTTGCAATAAACAAGTTTCTTGACGATGCATTTGGTGGTTCCTGAGTAAGTTTCTAGCTTTTAAAAGACAATTGAGCAGAGCCCACTTACAATGAGCACAAATTTTGCTGGTGACTTCGATGTGATTACTCAAGCCGACTAGTTAGAATAAGAATATGAGGCGATTATTACCGTGTCTGCCATACGTCACTGAGGAAGCTAAAATTACTGGGGGCAAGCTGGAGACTCAAGATTCATCCTTGCTTCTAATTGTAGTGTTCACTATCTCTTTCTTTTTATATATATATCATAAACATTTTTTTTTAGTTGAAACCCGCAGAAGGGGCCTACGCGTTAAATTAAAAAAAAATGTTACAAGGTCCTTAGAAGGTCCCTCCAGCTCACTACGCTCATAAGAGCTACAAGCAAAAAGAAAATAAAAACCTACGAGCCGGTGGGTCCTTTTTCTATAAATACAATACGCCAAAAAATTAACACAGGGCTGTAAGCCCTCAGCACCCAAAATCCGGAAGTTAAAAGTAATCTCAATCAACATGAACTTCCTGCAAAAAAGATAATCCAAATACAAAGTGCAAAAAACAAAAAAAAAATAGAGAGAGGCTTACAGTTAATGACATTCCCAAGCTCAGAAAAAACTTTGAACCTGCAAGAACCTCTCCTCTTAGGGCGAGGCTTATAATTATTAATTCAAACCTAATAATATTTTGATGTTATAGAGTTAAAATTATTGCATGATTATAATATTACTTTTTTTTTTTAACATTCTCATTAGATGAGACTATAATTGTGGCTTTTAAGAGCATAGGTTTTCAAATTATTTTGAAATCAAATAGCAGAGTTATTGATATATAAGACGACCCATTAACAAGCATTTTTCACTAATGTAATTCTATTGTTGTGTGGCATCAATTAGTCAACTCTGTGGGAAGCGAAAACGTCAGGGCTTATGTCATGTGTGGCGCTTTCCGCAAACTTTCCCTTGGCCGACTCTATTTGAATTTCTCTTTTTTCTTATAACTGCATGTATATAGTTATGTGTAGCCATATTCATGTTACCTCTACTTACATAGTTACATTCCAGAGTTTGCTCTTAAATTCCTGCAAGCCTCTCCTCTTATCACTCACACTCCTCGTCCTTTTCTGAAATCTCCTAAACACAAGTAAGAAGTGGAAAACAGAAGTCTATATAAATCTAGATATATAGAGAGAGTTCCTTGGTGCCATAATATTGGTTTAAAGATAGTTCCATGGTCATTAGAGGAGCGTTAAATGCTGATCGATTACATGCATAAGCATGGCCATGGCACCTGTAGAACCCTCCCTAAGAATGTAGTTTATTATACAGTTAAAAAGTAGCACAAATTTCATGTTATGTGTGGTAGATTGTTGGGGTTGTGTGTGTATATATATAAATGTTAATCACTTTTTAAGATGGCCTAATGAAGGTCTTTGTTTGACCAACCAAAAAATAACTATTATGTCTATATGCCTTATGCGATGTAGGCAGACTCCGATGGGCTAATTATTTTAGACTAGACATAAAGTGTAATAATCTGAATTTTTTTTAAATGATTTTTTTAATGAAATTTTTAAATTTCA